CCGCCCCCCCCCCCCGGGGGGGGGGGGGGGCAGCAGTCACGGCCTCAGAAGCTCTCCACGAAGCTGCCGGGGAAGAGGCCGGTGCGGCCATTCCTCTGCAGGGTCCCCTTGTACCAGCCGTCCTCGCGCTTCTTGTGCACGAAGACCACGTCCCCTTCCTTCAGCTCGATCTCCGCCTCGCTCTGGGGCGGGTATGAGACCACCACGCGGTACCTGGGGAAACAGATACCCAGGGGTGAGCCACCCACCACCTCCCGGGCTCCGGGGCTCCGTCCCTGTTTTCAGACCAACGTGCCATAAGATCCACCTGGAGACGTGAGTCTCCGCTGTGCCTCTGCCTGCCGGGCGCCTGAGCTCCGACCAGGAACAGACCCCTGGGCCCCGGCAGCTCCCCGGATCTGAGACAAAAGCCTGCACCCCACACCTGCCCAGGAGGCCTCAGGGGAGAAGGCTCTGAGGACCAGCCTCGCCCCAAAACGCCCGAGGGCGAGGGCAGACCGGCCGTGCGTGTCCCTCCGCGCCACCCAGCTCGGCAGAGCTGCCGGCAGCCCCCTCCAGCCGGGGACCCCACAGGCTCGTGCGTCCCGCTGTCCCCGAGCCCACCACCCTTACGGGGGGCAGGACTGGTCAGGTGAGCTGGGGGCTCCGCGCGCACATCCTCACTGTGGGTGGTCTCGTGGCCGGCAGGGCCGCCTGTTCTTGCTGCCTGCGGACGCCAGTTCGTAGGCACCACGGACCCCGCGGGCTGGGTGCGGGGGCAGGGGAGGGCTCAGCAAAGGCCTCCCCACGGACCGGCCGGCACGCTCCTCTCCCTCCGCCTCCAGCCCGCCATCCACACCGCCCTCCTCCCCTGGAACCACGTCGCTCGGACTAGAGGCAAGTTGGGAAGAGGCTCTGTTCCCGTCGCCCGCCCTCGCAAGCGCACCGGCCCCTCCCGGTCACGGATGCCGGGCCTGCCTGTCCCTGCTGTCCCCGGGCACCGCCCGCCACTCCCTCCTCACCTGACGGGCCTCAGCCCCACACTGCGCCCCCCGTGCCCTCGGGGCGGGTGGGTCGAAGGGTGGGGCTGCTGGGAGGGTCGCGGGAGCAGCGGCCAGGAGCTCCCGCACAGCTGCCCCCATGCCCTGCTCCTGGGCCCAGTCTGGCCAGCACCCCTGCCGTGGGCACTGGCAGAGCAGGAGCGTCTGTGGGCCGGGCCGGGGAGAGCAGTTCAGGGGGCCCTCCGTCCTCGGCTCCCTGCTCCCAGCCCCGCCCTCAGGGCCCGGGTCCTCCTCCGAGTCCCCAAAGGCCCAGGCGGCCTCCCTGGGCCAGAGGTGCAGACTGTGCTGCCCCTTCCCTACAGCCACCTCCCCACGCTCTCCGAACTCCAGGCTCTCCTGTCCCTCCTCCCTGGCAGCACCTGGCCTAACCCTGTCCCCTGGGGAAGACGCTCAGGTGCAGAAGACCCGGACCGGCCCTAGGAGCTCACGGGCCCAGTCCGCTCCAGGCGGTGGAAGCAGGGGGCAGAGAGGAAGCGGGTCGCGAGGCCGACCCGGCCTCCCCAGGTGCCTGCAGCGTGCAGGCCGGGACAGTTGCCTCCGCGGTCCCTTTCAGGGTGTGGACGAGGCAAGGAAGGGGACGACAGCTCCTGCCCTCCCAGCCCCGCGTCCCTGCAGATAGCTGGGACACAGCAACGCCCGTGAGATCAGCCAGCACACACGGACTGCAGCTCCCACCCCCCCCCC